TGATAATATGCTGTAAACCAAATATTATAAATGCTAAACATGTCACTCATGGTTTGCTTCTTGCTAATGCTCCTACCTCTGAAAGGGCTACAGTCATAACTTTATTCATGGTGGCATTACATAGGCAGTTATTGATAATATGCTGTAAACCAAATATTATAAATGCTAAACATGTCACTCATGGTTTGCTTCTTGCTAATGCTCCTACCTCTGAAAGGTCATAACTTTATTCATGGTGGCATTACATAGGCAGTTATTGATAATATGCTGTAAACCAAATATTATAAATGCTAAACATGTCACTCATGGTTTGCTTCTTGCTAATGCTCCTACCTCTGAAAGGTCATAACTTTATTCATGGTGGCATTACATAGGCAGTTATTGATAATATGCTGTAAACCAAATATTATTAATGCTAAACATGTCACTCATGGTTTGCTTCTTGCTAATGCAATACATTAGCACATGCAAGGCATTTTTATAAAGCACAGTTGACTTTTTATATATATTTAGAGAGAAAGAAACTTCAAGAAATCTAGTAGAAATAACATAATAATTACGGGTTTCTATTCAAAGAAGGTATAAGGACTGAAATAATTACAGCTTATTTCAAATAATTGTGTTCAGTCTCGGGCTCCTCACCAAAGGACGTTGAAATGTTGGAAAGGGTTTAGAATAGGTCTACTAGAGTGATATCTGGGATGGAAAGGTTGTTGTACGAGGATGGGTTAAGATCTCTGTAATTATATAATTGATACATGATGCCTTTTCTGGGGAAACCCTGTTTGTGAAACATTCTGTAATTGTTTTCTCCTCAACAGAAGAGACTGGATCTGACTGAGATAATTGAGACTGTAAAAGGAATTTATAATATTGATGTTTTTATGTACTTAATAGTGAGAGTGGTAGGGCTAGAGGACATAAATGTTGGCACACTAAAAGTAATCTTCAGCTAAGAAAGTTTTATTTTTCTAACAGAGTGGTTGATCCCTGGAATGGGTTGTCTTTAGATGCAGTTAATTTAAGGAAGTTTAAGTGAAGGCTGGATAAATAGTTGAATGATAAGAGCTGGCTTTGAGTGTTTTACTTTATTTTAGAGTTTATTATAGTGGATTTGATGGACCAACAGGTCATGTCCCTTGTTGTCCTTAGATTATATGATAAGAGCTGGCTTTGAGTGTTTTAGTTTATTTTAGAGTTTATTATAGTGGATTTGATGGACCAACAGGTCAGGTCCCTTGTTGTCCTTAGGTTATATGAATATAATTCAAATACAAAACAAGAGGGAATCCTCTGTAGCCACGAAACTTGAAATTCTTTTAGGTAGGATAAGAGTAAATTAACCTATGAGACCACGGGTATGGTCAAGTACATCAATCGAAAGGGTTTGACCTCCTGTGTTCAAAACTATAATTAGATATCAAATCAGTCAAGAAATGACAGAGCTATAAGCTAAAAGTTTGTACTTGAAAAAAGAAGTGGAAAACTCAGAGCTGTTCAATGAGCCACTATGCCATGTCTAAAAAGTAATCTTGTAAATGTATAATGTATTATGTATTGTTCCTTCTTCTGTCCTGCCTTTTGAAAAAGTGCCAGAAGGACTCTTTGAAAACTGTTTTACATAAAGTAAATTCTGTGACATTACTATTAAAAGAGTAATTATAAATCATTACAATGTAATTTTTTGTGGTATATTTTTTTTTAACAAATGTGTTTTATATTTTTGAAGGCAGAGGTTCAGCATGAAGATTCCACCCAAGTGATCATGGGACAGCACCATCTGTTGATAGAAAATGTCAACACACTTGTGTCTACTGTACCAAAACAGCAGGTAATTAACATAATAAATTACATTCAACGGGTGTTATGTTTGAGGTGTTATTTATTTTATCACAGTTTTGGGCTTATGTTGGTTTCAGTGTTATCCCTATCAGCTGTAAAATAAATGTTGTGCTTGATATTAGGACCTTGTCTAGGATGTTGATTGTTAGTTATTTATAATCTTCATGTTTTTACTACAGTTCTGTAATTTTGAGCAACAATTAAGAATCAGTTTGAAAAGACTTCTATTAAGAAGAAAGTTTTTAATAAAAAACTTTAATTTTATGCGTAACACTTTAGATAGCTATCTCAGTATTTTGATATATTTATGTTTTTAGTTTCAGATGTCTCAACCAGATATCTGAACCAGTGTTTTGTTAGAACTTGGACATTATTGTAGTTTATATATCTGAACCAGTGTTTTGTTAAAACTTGGACATTATTGTAGTTTCATGTATCTGAACCAGTGTTTTGTTAAAACTTGGACATTATTGTAGTTTTATGTATCTGAACCAGTGTTTTGTTAAAACTTGGACATTATTGTAGTTTCATGTATCTGAACCGAAACTACAATAATGTCCAAGTTTTAACAAAACACTATGTATCTGAACCAGTGTTTTGTTAAAACTTGGACATTATTGTAGTTTCATGTATCTGAATCAGTGTTTTGTTAAAACTTGGACATTATTGTAGTTTCATGTATCTGAATCAGTGTTTTGTTAAAACTTGGACATTATTGTAGTTTCATGTATCTGAACCAGTGTTTTGTTAAAACTTGGGCATTATTGTACTTTCATGTATCTGAACCAGTGTTTTGTTAAAACTTGGACATTATTGTAGTTTCATGATGTATCTGAATCAATGTTTTGTTAAAACTTGGACATTATTGTAGTTTCAGATATCTGAACCAATGAATGCAGTCTCTCTGTTGTCTGATACCAACGAGACAGATATAGTAGGGATTGAGCAACTAGTCAAGTGGACTCTACAGCACCCCTTCTGTGTAGAACATGACTTCCAGAGTAAAAGGTAGGTCCACTGAGTTACATTATACCAGTAAATTAAAAATATGGAAGAAAAATATTAACCTAGGTAGCAAGAAATCAAGTTAGAAATTTCATGATTCCATAACTTCCATAGTAAATACGTCAGAAAACATACTGGATGAATTAGGATTAGATCTGTTCCATAGAAAATTTTGTCATATTGTTATTTGTAGAATATTAAATTGAATTAAGTGTTGGTGAAACGGGAAAATTCCAAAAAGCTGTTATAACCCTTGAATGGCAAACTTCATCTTTTACTGTTCTCTTCTGGTGGAGTCCATTTATTATATCATATGAGTAACTTAGTGAGGTCCACTTATTGTATCGTATAAGTAACTGAGTGAGGTCCATTTATTATATCATACGAGTATCTTAGTGAGGTCCACTTATTGTATCGTATAAGTAACTGAGTGAGGTCCATTTATTATATCATACGA